TGAGTCGGTAAGGGGCGAGTCGGTCAGGGGGTGAGTTGACCTGACACCAAGTCACTGTAGGGAAGAATTACTGGTGTCCATACATGTACATGTACATGGAACTCTTTCTGGCACTAACTCCTACATTCCCAGTTCTGGATCGGTTTACCCAGTTCCAGGTCACGACTACATGTACATGTAATTCTTTTTCACGAATAAAACATAGCCGCGCTGATTTTCTAACGAAGAATTTATGAATTTAGAGAAAATTTGTTTATGAATAAGAATTTCAAGAAGTTTTGCATAAATTTGACAGTTTCAACTGTACAGCGAGCTATCAATGATTGTACATGTTGGCCTACATTGTCTAAATTATTACCAAGATGTAGGGAAAAAAAGATCCCCTATGCTTTTCACTTTTCCTATTTACACTAAAAATGGTTCAGACTGGACAACAAACATAAAACAGGAGATATTATGAGACAACACAGTACAATATACTGGCAAGATTCAACAGTCAAAGACAGACGTGCTAGTTAAGACAGGCTTTAGCCTAGTTTTAACATGTTTAAATAATGCAAGTACATGTATATGTAGATAGGCATAATTACATGATTTGATTTTCATTATACGGACTAATAAGATCCAGTGCGACACCGTAGCCAGTATTTTGAGCGCGTGGCTCTGCATTCTAAACTCCTTTTTACGCACGGATGGGTGAGTTGTGTGAACGGTCGAGTTGTCTGTAGTCGAGTTGGCCGGAATGGGCCCTTTTTTGCCAAACGGAACTTCCAAATTCCTCGTCGTGAAAAACGTTGACCAAAAAACGACATGTAGTGTAAATTAAACGACAAAGAGTATCAGTATCAAACGTACCGTATTATATTGCTGGCAAACTTGAGAAGGATTTCCGACACGTCTAGGAAGCTTGTGGGGCCGTTTTCTAACAGCTGACTGGTAACCAGGGCAAGCTCTTCGCTCGACGCCATGATTTCCTTCAATTTCTGACAATCTGACTTCGGCTCCATAGAGGGCGCTGTGTCACTTCCACGATGAGAGGGTTTGTGCCCACAGCACAGACACGCGTTTGTGTATGCACCTTTTGTTTTTCGAGGTTCAGTTTTTATCGTCGGGCTGCCCTTTCTTTTTAGTACGAAATGAAAAGAAGAAGACTTCCCCTTGTTACCTAATTTTACGATGTGACGTTCCTGTGGCTTAACATCGATCAGAATCAGCCGAAAAATCAACAAAGTTAAGGAGAGCACGCGCGCACATTACCCAGGGCTCGAATACAATATAAAGGGTGTCTCAAAACTTCCAAACTGCATGCTAAGGGCACTAGAGGTGCTAGAGGATTTGAAGCCTGCAACATTTGAATTTGTCATTGTAGAAAGTGAAGACAAAGTGAATTGCTGATGCCCGCCAAACCACCATTTAGGCCCCACATATGCTGTCACATTCGCTGTGGCCCATAAACTGATGGTGCCAAAAATGCTGCATTTTGCATTTGCCTGTCCCCATCTGCCCTAGTGGGGGCTAGGAAGGACAAAGTAATGTGCTCCACTACATTTTGTAAAGGAAATACATCATAGCTATGGAACGTCGAGGAGAGCACACACAATGCTGTACTAATCCACCCACGTACATCAATGCGCACGTGTCATACGCAAAGTGATGACCACATGTTATTATTCAAATGATCTCTTACAAATGAGTGCTCAACAAAAATTAAGTCATGCATTTGGGACTAGCAATTATTTTGTAATGGAGCGCAGCGTATCGCTTTTCAAAATGGCGACGAGCTTTAAGACTCTTATTAAGCGTGGTCATCTTTGGGAGATAAAGCGAATTGATTCACCCCAATAACCAGAACAGAACCAAGTTTTAATTGGTTTTCCAGACTCTAACGAAAGTTGAATTTCCCCCCTTTTTTTCCAGTGAAGGTACCTATGTACTGTAATAAAAACAAATGGAACTTAATTTATAAACCGGCCTGTAACTGTTCTTGACGCACAGAGCGTGAAGCGATTGGTGCCCCCATCGTGCCGCATAGTGAACCTGATTAAGAGTCCCTCTCAAGTCAGCCTGGGTTATGGGTATTGATTTACCTGTCTCCCCCATTGACTGATGCAGCCGTCCCCGCTTCGTCTCTATATACCTCATCATTTGCACGCCTGAGATAAGTGCTGGCAAATATTGTAAGAAATATGAGGGAAATTCTGCACAGTCTGTTGGTTTGCGGTGGCAGATTGACTCTCGTGATGAATTGAGCTCTTGTTGCGGCAGGCAGAAGATTGAAAAAGGGCAGACAAGTGACACAAAACAGATGGTCCTGCTTTCATCTACTAAAAGAATAGGCCTGTATGCTAGACTTGTCTTTTTTTCTTTCTCACGCTATGTGAAGGTTTTGTTCTTAACTGAAGATACAGCTCACTGCATGGTGATATGGAACTCTTGTGTTAAGAAATCTGGACTTCCATTTTAAAAAGATTTTTGGGGGGCAGACATTACATTGATTTCAATTTATAATGGGTGTGTGATCATAAGTCCAGAAAGCATCCTACAGGGTTCCTTTTTAGTGTGAGCATATACTGGTGCCAAAATAGTTAGCTCATTTTATAAGCCCTATCCGTTGATAACCGTGACAGGATATCCAGTCTTGAGGAGCTCTCGTGGGTTTCATGTAATTAACAGATCATCAACATGCATGCACAACACAGATGCGCGAGCTTAGCACTTCCTATTTGCAAGCGTTATTTAAATTTTTTTGGTTTGCCAATGGCAATGCTTTGCCCAACACGGGCAAAGTCTCAGCTATAATAAAATCATGGCCTCGGAACAATCACAGTTTGGTAATTTATCTTCTCTCACTAAGTATCACTGATCACGTTCCTTTGCAATATATTTCAAATCATTTGTTACTTTGGTCAATTTTGGATGAAGGCATAAAGTATAGTGAGAATATTTTCAGCAATGAGCAAGAAAAAAAAAATCGAATTGATAGCCGCCGCTTGTATCACGCATATGAGCGAGCTCGCACGCCTGGCAGAAATTTACCCACAAAGCTCTGCGCGTGGTTTGCTATGAACCCGTTAGACGTATTTCCCTTCACTTACATCTGGATGTGCTGGGCCATCAGCCGTTCCAAGCGGTTTCTGTTTCCTAAATAACAGATCTGATAAAAGTTCGGGTATTTGGTACGATTAATTGAAGTTTCGAGACCTGCAAGCTTTAAGAATGTGCCATTCTTAAATGGCTGGTCTCATATAACTGTCCAAAGTGATTAATGTTACCGGCGACGTCATGCAAATTTCCTCTGTTTGTGTGTCTGTAATAATCGTGTGTTCGTAATAAACTCTGCACCTCCGGTTGTGGTGGAGTCATTTTCAGTTGCTAAGCTATACGCATATGAAGTATACTCTTTCGAATGTCAAAGCTCTAGTGGCATTGTTTGGGCAAGGATGGGCAAGGAAAGTGAGCGTCTCGGCCCGATCTTTTGGTGGTCAACTTCCAGCACTTGAGGATTTGTATCGTTCTCGGTTCAAGAAGAGAGCCCGGTGTATTGTAGAGGACAAGTTTCTTCCAGCACTTGATCTTTTCCAGTCGACTGTCAAATAACCGATATCGTTCAATAAAGTTGGGTTCTGAACGCACATTACCAAGTTTTTTCTCTCATAGCGATTTGCATCCTTGAAGGCTCAGGACAATCGGTTATTTTTGTTTTAATACAAACCTTCAAAATGCATCGCTGTGTCTCTGCAGATAACCCTTTTTCAACTTTTATTTCACTGTTTCAAAGAATATTTTGCTACTTTTTTGGTTTTATGCAAATGAGATTTCAGTATTCATTGAGCAAAACTGTGATGTCTTACCAGGAAGAGAGCCTTAATGTTACATTGGTTTGTACACAAAAAGTCCTACATGTTTGTAGAGTTTGCAACTAACTAAATATTCTCTTCTTTGTTGATTTATTGTTGTTTATGTGCATAGCAATAAGTTAGCACGAATCCCTTTCAGCGTTTTCAGCGAGTAAATTCTCGGTTCACAATCTTAATAGAAAAGTGTTTGCAATGAGCCATTATTTTAAGTGTTTTTAAGAGTGCACCTTTCAATGCATTTGACCGAATGGGAGTGTGACAGAGTTTTCACACATTGAAGAAGAGTACAAAGTGCAGGAAAGCTCTGTCTAAGAAAAATTCACTGCGGCTACACTTTAACGATAGCCTTAAGGGCCGTTCAAGCCAAAAATGCTGTTTATATTATTTCTATATTATGCTGCCTGCCACTTACTTAACAAGTGGGCCTTTTTATCGTCCGTTTTAGATTTTAATTTATATTTTATATATTTCTGAATTGTAATACATTCTAATGTACCTACTCTGAGAGTATAATTTTGATGGTGTGACATTTTAATGGATTTTAAAAGTTTTCAGGCGTGGAAAACGAAAAACATTTCACAAGGAGGTAACAGTATATTTAAAGTAAATTTCCCAGTACAGTATAATCGCAAACGCGATTGGATATATTACAAATATAGCAATTATACAACAGTGCTGACTATTTCCTGGTTATAAATTACTGCGCCGTGGCCGGTCCTGCTAGGTAAATCACTAGTGCTAAAGATATCGCCATACTTAATTACGTACTTTCACCGCCCCACCCACCAGATCACTTACACACGGCCAGAGGTAGAGTGTACATTAGAAATACTGACCCGGTACAAGCTCGGCGACCGCGAACAACGTGGTTCATCCACGACCTTAAAAGCGCCGCCCGTTATGCTGTCGTGGTAAGATAGCACATACGCCGCGCTGCGCGTAGGATTTTAGGGACCCACGATCACATGCACGCGGTACCTCGTACACGCACGATAAATTTTGATGTGTGGTCTTGAAGAACGTCCTCGGACTCTTCCGCCATCGTGTTTGTTTGTGCGACTGACTGAAGAACATCATTCGGGAAATGGTGGTGGGATGATTGATTGGAGTAGGGGCTGCACATCTCAGACATAAATCGGGCGTCGCATGGATGGTGGCAGCGTACATACCGTCACTACCGACGTCGCTGACTCCACCTACATGGTTCATTTACTCCGCCATACGGGGAGGGTTGGGAGAGCAGCCTCGGCACGGAGCCAGTTGTGGTTGCATCTTTAACGCGGCTCGGTAACCACATCTACACACGCCATCCTCCGAGAGTGCTACGGCCCGTAGGCTTTAACACCATTTTCCCCGCGAAAAATGCACGGCATCTCACAGCGCGACATCCCAGCCGTCTAGTACCAGGCCACGTTTTTTTTCAGCGGGAGAACTGTGGAAAGTGGAGACGGTGTCTGAGTGTTATTTTTTTCGGTTGTGCTCTGGTGAGGGTGCACCTCTTTCCCGGAACGACGCCATCATGCTGATAGACGTTGCCTGCATATTGCGTGCCGCCCTGGCGATTATTCTCCTGCGGCTTATGTCATGCGGTAAGAACCCCCCAAAAAACATTTCCGTTGTGCATTGCGTCTCGTATAAATGGGACGGGTTTCTAATCCACTTATTTCCCCTGTCTGCCCGGTGGACTGACGGCCTACATCCACATAACCCATTTCAAGGGGTGCGCCTTGCTTCATTGCATATTGAATCATCAGTGTCATCATTATCTTAACGCCTAAATATTCAAAGCAGCTGCACTCTTCCAAAATGTCGACATACGGAAAGCTAATTTTTTTTTAATCTTGAAATTCACAGAAACCAACCACTCTTGCATGAGTGAACAGCCAACCTCTGTTGATGCTTCACGCTGGCTGCCGTATAAGCTATTCAAATGCATTGTAGCGCCTTCAGTTTTTCATGTTCTATATAAATCTGTTGGCTAAAGTGCACCATCACCCCAACTCATATTATGTAGGCACGTGGTGTGACGAGGCGTGACATTATCTTCAAGTTAAACCGTAGCTTTTAATCGTACAAAATATCTCTCAAGGATACATGAAAAGGAACGCAGCAAACTCACTCTTTCAGTGATAAAGAGCGGGTCTAAGCTTGTTCTTGAACGTCGTACACTCAAGTTTGTTTTGTCAATAGAAACCACAATAAAGGCTACGAAAGACTCTAATATTAAGTCAGACCGTGATATCACAGTACGATAGTCACGTTAAAGCACTTTGTAGATAATTGATTTCCTTGAGAATCATTGGAATCCGAAATTGAGCTGATTGATAAACAAGGTTGCGCTTGCCGGAAAGAAATGCTTCTGCTTTATGGTATTTTTCTTGAATTTGCACCTATTTCGTGAAGTTCAGGACGTACTGAAGATCTCGTTTTTACACTCTGCGTAACTGATAGGCAACACATCATAAAACCATACATAGGCCTAAGCCATCGCCACGCTTAGATCATAGTAACTAACATTTTGTCTTCCTCGTTACCCAAGCACAGATTTCTTGCGCACACATAATTCCCAATCAGAATTGAGCACAGCCGGCTGCACGTCCTTGCATTACGAGGAATGTTTATACCGTGACTACTGTAATGGGAATGCATTTTCATATTGAAGCAGTCACTCGTTAAAGCGTGGCAGATAATCTGACGAACGACCTTTTTATTGCTTACAGCTGTGCGCTGAAAGTGGCGTTATATTTTCCTTTCTCTGTGGTTATTCGATAACTACTAGACCCAGCAGTGAAAGGAAATTGTCTGATACTCGGATACCTAATACGAAAGATGTGTGACCATGGCGACATATAGGAATTCAGATTTGGTTCAAGAAATAACGTGGACTGTGATTATCGTTGATTGATGTTGGGAAGCATGTAGGCCAACTGGATTGTTGTAATAAATCTATATCATCATTTAGAAATATAACTTTAAAATCACCTGTTATTGCAGATACGATGGACAGACGAATTTTCAAATTTGAGCTGTAGTCTGCCGGGGAAAAAACACAAAAGAACGTCACGCAAAGCTAAAGGGGTACAAGATGAGAATGGAGCGTTATTGAAGTGAAATCTAAGTACCTTTTCTCGATCCAGCAAAGCGCATACGCAGAGTGGCGGAGGAAAACGTACGCTGTCGGAGCAGGGGGATTCTCGAATTACGTGTGGCCCCGATGGGGGAAACCATGTCAATCTATCTCCATGGAGATACGCGGGATGAGTGGTTTTCGTAGCGACGGATGGGTCACAGGTTAGTTGTTTGTCCCGCGGAATGTACAGGTGGTCTGTGATTGCTTGTACAATCGTTTGATCTCGAGGATGGGCAGAAACAGCAAAACCCGGTATTTTGCTGTTTGATGAGTATACTAACTTACCCATTACACATGCGTATTGCCTGCGCTCATTTTTTTTCGGGGGTTGGGATTTAATTTTTTGTGTGTCGCCAGTCGTTAAATTTCTTTGAAAACTGCTGAACATACGAAATGCCCATGTCTTCAAAATAATAATTAAGTTTATCCCGTCCTGATGCTAAGGGTGTTAATTTTATACAGGTATTAGGGCAACCGGGTACCCGATTAAAAAAAATACGTGTACCCGATAAAAAAAACCCAATGTTTAAATCCCAACATTTGATACCTGAATTCAGAGAGTTCGTTTACGTCTACAGCACAATACCACCACATCGGTTGAATCAAAATTCAAGGCAAAATACGCCTGTGCAGTAAGCTTAATGTAATCGTTTCATGATGTAAATTTTGGCGTTATGAACATGAATTGTGTTGTCCGGTTTTACTTTTGAAATTTTGCACTAGTGGCACTACCCTCCCCCTTTTTATTGCCTGAGAAATTACAAAGTGTTATGCAATGCTACGGATAATCTAGACCAGTTTCTATATAGCAGGATCCGTCGGGTATCCGGGTCTGATGCACAGCCCTAATGTATACTGACAGTATTGTTGCCATTTAAGGAAAAGGGGGAAAATATGACGAATTGTTTTATAGACTGTGAGTCAAACCAAGACCAAGGGTGTTTAATGGTACTTTAATTTCATACCCCAAAGCCATTGGTAGTTGATTTCTGTAAGTCACCTTCAATATCTTTCTGTTTATCAGTGCTTCAATAAGACAGTTTCTGCAGATAGGTACACACAGACTGAACTTCAACTATATAACAGAGTGCGCGAACCTATGCTCCGGGGAGACTTACGTTAAGCACAGGATGTGCCATGAAAGCACTTCTGCCAGTTCACGAGACAAACATTTTTCTCGAATACCACTTTCGCATTTATGTATCGTAAATTGAATTGGCCCACATCGTCTAATCAATTTGGACTAACATAGATATGGCTCAGGTGGCAAGAAAGTTGTGACTATAATGTCACCTCAAGGTCACCGTAAATTGGATTTAAAGGCAGGTACTTGGCGCCAGGAAAATATAATTACGTGGAGTGTAATTCTCTCACAACGGCTCCTTGGGAGTTTTCACAGAAACTATCAGACATGTAAACTCCTAAATATTTCTGATCTTGTTTATTTCCCGTGCTAATGGACAATTCTGCTTGGTGTTATGTTCACTAAGTATTTCTTTACTGCATTTCATATCTTCAAAACGATTATTTCAAGAGTAACTTCTAAACATTCACTGAACCAATTTAAACATCGGTACTGCGGTATTAATAATTTTCGTGGAAAATGAATTCAGGACATTAAAGAGAAAATTCATGTTCAATCCACAAAATGGTAACTTTACCTCACTGTCCGTATGAGCCCATTCGGCCTGCCATTAGTTTTTAACTCGTTTCGGGCCAGTTGTGACGATCTTTGACCATTTATACTCAAAGCGTAAATTTGGGGGAAAAGGTGGGTTTAAACGAGAAAAAGTACGCAAGGGGTAGTTTTTCTAAGAAGAAAATCGAAGATGGGACTGATTTTTGCCTGGAGTGAAACACTGGCGTCGGCTTAATGGCGGACGGCACGTATTACGACCACCCCGCTTCATCCATTCAATTTAGCACGGCTATCGATCCCGAGCAAAGGCTCCGTGTGTTCCATAACCACGCGCCGTCACATCCGTGGACAAAGTGCGACTGACCCGAGTCGTTCGTGCATGGCGTCTGTGTGCTGGACAGTTTGCCTGCGCGGGTAAATTTTGTTCAGCGGCGAAAAGCGCACACAATTATAGTGTGTAAGTGGGGATTTTCAGCGTCGTGGGCAGATCCAGGACAAGAGTTTCGGAGGGAGGGTTCAAAATATGTCTTTTTTTCGGGGGGTGGGCACAATTTTGCATTTTTTTTATGCACTCTATTTTGGCCTCTGAAAGGGGTTAGCTACATTTTGATACTCTTTGCATGCGTTTAGAATGGCGCAAGACAAAAATTGTCTTTCATTTTCTTGTAATTTTTGACTTTTGTGGGAAGGGGCATTGCCACCACCACCCACCCCCCATCTGCCCTTTTTAATGTCATACTCCCGCACAAAAAAGTCTTCACGCAAAACGGCACGGAATAACTTATCAAAGTGGCAATCTAGTTGATCCTACACCTTTATACCACTGGAAATTAGTGACTTGGCGTTTAGATCATTGACATAAGGTTTCATTTCCTTCCGAGTCCTTTTTCTCGCAAGGAATTTCCCAAGAGACAGTCCCCTGATTGACTCAGGTTTCAACAACAGAAAGCGCGGCACACCGTTGTCCGTATCTCAGCAGTGTCTGCCAGCGCTCTCGAGTTTTCCCGCCTTACATGTATTTGATCAATATCCGTCGGTTTTGTGAGCTCACTATCTCAAAAATGATACAATTGAAAGTATGACTCTGGTTGGCTAGTTTCATATGTTTTCCTGGTGCCATTGTTTTCCTATCAAATCCGACAAAATAAATTCAGTTTCACTTTTGGAGTATAACCAAAACGATTACATACTGAAGTTGCACGCATAGCTCGTGCATGCCGCTATGCCGTTCGAATTTGTTTTCAAATTCTTTTGTATAAGATTAACACATTCAAATTTAATATTCTTGATCCTTTTAAAAAGTGGTCGCAGTCTTGTCAGAGTGTACTTCAACCGCATTCCAATAAATACATTTTTACATTCGAAATAGAAATACGTAAAGTGGAGAGCTTTCATTCTTATCAGTACGTGTTAATTAATTTTTTATTATTATACCTGAATTTGCCGAACTCGTTTTCAGTCAAGAAGCGAGATTAGAGAATTGAAGATCTGATATAGATCTTAGGAACTTCAAACAAAAGTTGATATGGCAGAAATCTTGGGTATTGCCCTCAAATGCGCCGATCAAGAGTTCTTATAATTATTCCTGGGATCCACCATGCCAAGTTGGTTTGTCATTACATGTATATATTTCGGTTGCTTCAAAAGTGAAAGTAGGAAAATTGATTACTAATTGTGTACGTGGAAAGCAGAAGTATTGCAAAGAGGCCATGACCGCGTTACTTGACTGCGGCTTGAAATCAATCACAACTATGGGAAGTGGCAGCAGCCACAACCATGTAGACTCGCGCGTAATTTGAAGCTGGAACTCAGATGCGGCC